CTCTCCGGATTCTGCTTGAGGTTTTGGGTGTGGAGATGCCGAAGCCAGACGACGTTACCCTGGCGGTGGCACTCATCAAGCTTTTGGGCAAGATGTCTGACAGCGACCTGGCCATCATGCGTGGATGCCAGGCCGATGTGCTCAAAGCGGCCGCCAACCTTCGTCTTCAGATGAGCAACTTGGACGGCTTGGGCAGGGATGCCAAGGCCCGTGTCGCGAAAGATTCCGGCATGGGGCACATGTACGCCGCTGCCAGCGCCCGCGAAAGCTTCATCAAAGCAATGGCCGGGCTCATTGAGACGCTACAAGAACTTTCTGAGGTGGACGACATCGAGTACTTCCCCAAGAGCACCGTTATGTCCTTCGATGAGTTGAAGAATCCCGAGGCTTTCGTGGAGTACGTGGCCTACTTGACAGCGAACCAGACGCTGGTCCTGGCGGACATGAAGAAGAAGCTGCTCAGTGAGGAGCCCGAGTTGGCAACGTCCGAGAAGTCCTGGAAGTTGGAATTGTCGGCCGATGCTGGGCTGGAGGATGTGATCAAGGCGGGGGAGCAGGTCTTCAAGAAGTGCAATGCCAAGGAGCTCAGAAATGTCCTCGCGGAGCACGAGAAGGAGTGTGGATGTCTTGACCAGAGCAGCGACGTGGGTGTGTAGTAGTGTAGGTGTAGTCTTGTATTGTAGTGAGTATACAGTGGAGTGTAGTGTGCAGTGTAGTGTAGTGTAGTGACATGACAGTGTAGTGAAGTGTAGTCACGTAGACGTAGTCAGTGTAGTGTAGTGTAGTGTAGTGTAGTGTAGTGTAGTGTAGTGTAGTGTATGTAGTGTAGTGGTGTGTAGTGTAGTGTAGTGTAGTGGAGGTGCAACCAGTGCAGTGTAGTGACTGCTAGTGGCTGCTAGCTGCTAGTGTTGCTAGTGACTGCTAGTGATGCTAGTTGCTAGTGCTGCTAGTGACTAGTGAGTGACTAGCATAGGTCGGAGTGTACAGCAGGAGTGCGGCCACTAGCCGCTAGCTTCCCCCCTAGCCGGCATAGGCATAGTCTACTGGCCTAAAGGCCTAAACAATGCTACTCCCGATGCCCCCCAGCAAACCCGCATTCCTGGAGTCATGCTCGCAATCATTTGATTTCAGATCGCTCTTGGAGCCAGCCGTGACCAAAGGATACGGATATATCCTATTTTCTAACTAATTGATTCTAACTGTTTAACTCTACATTCTCTAAGTTTAAGCTTCGTAGATTGTGCATTGCGGTCTTCGAACTTTTGCAACAGCATCAGAAGCTGCTCGCAAGACCGTGTGCAACTTCGCAGATACCTGCTCAACAACATCAAGCCCCTTAATGTAGTGACTAGTGACTAGTGACTAGTGGCATTGCAGCTGTAGCAAATCACAACACCATCATGAGTTTTGATCTAGAATCAAGAGTACTCTAGACTCCAGACTCTAGATTCTTCAAACTCTCTAGACTCTAGGCTTCTAGGCTCTCTAAACTACGCCCACGTGTTGTTCTAAAGACTCCCAAGCAAAACCTCACGTCCAGGGGCTTGTGCCGTTTGAAGACTGCCGAAAGTTCACGAAGACGCTGTTGCCGATCAACGTGGACTTCGCTGCTTTCGAGGAGCAGTTCACTCAAGACAGAGCGGTGTTCAGACGAATGAAAGTCTTGCTCGCGGAAATCATGATTTTGCAAGGCAACAAGACCCTCTCTGGCAGCCGCAATGGGGCTGTCATGACGCCTGAGGAGAAAGACAAGTGCACTCGCACGTCCGGAGTGCTTCAAGCCCTTCACACCGAGTTGATTGCAGACAGAGATCGTCGTGCAATGATTCCGCCCGCTCTTTTCCAAAGGTTGGAGGAGCTTCTGAAGTGAAGCCACTCTCTTCAATCCACGCCGTTCGTACCCACTGGCTGCTGGCTGAACGCTGACTTTACACGAAAGCCTATGCTTTAATGTTTAGCTGCTTATGTCCTGGTCTTAGCTGCGAACCGCTAGCTAGCTAGCTAGCTGGTCCTGTCTGCGGGCTCTTGAGCGGGAATTCAATAACTGTCGTATCTGTAATTTGACAATAGTAACTAGTAACTAGTAGCAGCGAGCAGTGTAGTGTAGTGGGTCCGCACCAGGGCCACGTTGTTCGGCTCTGCGTTCGCTGGTCCAGCTTGCAAAGGCAGGGTGCCAGGGCAATGTAGCCGGGGCGGTGGCAGCGCACACGAGGGCTGTACTCAACAGAACTTCATCGACCTAGACCTAGATTCCTAGATCCTGCAGACTCGAGCCGTTGTTGAGCCGACTTACTTCATCTCAAGGCCATAGCCACAACCATAGCCGCCGTATGCCTGATGATCGGATGTTGTGTGCGATCCCACCGGGCCTCATTGGCTTAGTGGCAGAAACCCTTGCTCGTGGGAGGCGTGCTTTTTGACATTCTGCCAGGGCAGTGTCAGCAGGTGATGGCGTAAGGTAAGCCATCAAGCTCAGCCATTGTTGAGCCAAGTTGAAACATCTCAAATCCCCAAAGTCATTCAACTTAGCAGCTTTAGCACTTTTGCTATTCGACGCCACGGTGCTTCACTGGCATAGGGCAGGAATCCTTTCAGGTTTATGTGTTGCGAGTTGTGCAGCAGGGCGGAGCTGCGAACCCAACCGGGACCCAACCAGTTCGGACAGGCTTGGAACGAAAATATTGTTGTCCGGGTGCGCCTGCGCCTTTTGCCTGCAGTTTTGTCGCCTAAGGGCCTGGGCCCGGGCCCTGAAGCAAACCTTGATCGTCTTGACGAACCTTCAACAAAACTCGCCCTCCAAGCTGCATTGCCGAAGAGCTGGAGATTGTAGTTCGCATTTTGGAGAGCCGAAGATTTTAATTCAACAAAGTTTTTTGAACGCACAACGTAGCCAAAAACAACCTACCTTTCATACAAATAAACCGGTTGACATTTGTTCTTTCTTGAAAAAACAACAATTTTACTTTTTTCGGAATCATCGAGAAACATCGTCCGGGTTTGTGGTTCGAGCATCAGAACATACATGCTTTGGTGTTGTCACAAACTACAAGCACATTTTGCACACTGAACATTCCAGATCACATGCCTCAGCCTGTTCCATCAAAAGCAGCACTTCCAAAAAGCCATCTGTGAAAGTTGGCACGCTTCATTATTTGGCCCAGCGCAACATTAAGACTTCCTAAGTCGCGAACCGGTCGTCCCAGCTCACACTGCTTGCACTTTGGCAAGTCCAAAAACGAGACTCCTGTGACTTCAACATGATCACCAGTGAGAGCCCTGCCACAAACGAAGGATCCCTCTAAGTTCCCAGCCGTCAGAAGATGCACCACGCCCGTTCTAACATGTTTGTACATGGAGGCTTCGGGCTTCCAAGTGCTTGGCTTGCTGGAAGGGTGGCGAAAGTCCTCACCTCGAACCCACTCATCACCAGGGCCTTCGTCTGCAGAGCTGGAGTCACTGCTAGAGCTACTGGCGTCCCCAAATTCCTTGGGCTTTTCAGGCTCAACACTCTCAGCACGATCAACCCTCACAAAGGACCCCGTAAGGCCCCCAGGTGAGTCTCCATCCTCCCTCGTAACCCCGCCAAGCTCAGAACGTTGCGATGGCGAAGCTTCGTCCTCCGAAACCTCGACTTTGCAAACCTGCCGCTGCATAAACCGTCCGGATCGGCTTAAGATCAGGCATGAAGACTCCTCGGCGAATGCTCCTTAGCATGTCAGTATACTTCAGAAGCGAAGGGGCCAGGATATCCCGGCCATACGCGTCAAGTGAGTTGTCACCTGCCGAGTGATGGCCTAATTGCAAGCACAGAATCGTTCAAGGCATCACTCAGAAGACTTGAGCTCGCAGCGTCAAGAACATTGCTTGTGACAACTCGCTCCCGGGCCTGCGCAACCTTCCTGGCTGCATCAGCTTCAGTTGAAAGACATTCATCAAGATGAGATGGCAGGGGCCGCATGGTACCCAGTTCATCATCATCAGGCAGAGCATCTAATGTCTGTTGAAAGCCCGCTTCAGCCTCCGAAGGCAACGGCTTGCCTGTGCACTCAGCTTCCGGACTCGGCTGTCTTTCTGCTTCCTTGCTAGTGCTAGGGAGCAAGTCACAAGCCTCCGCCTGCAAGTCGCTGCCCTTTTGCACATCACTATCAATCTCAGACTCGGCATCAAGACAATGTACCTGATTTGCTTCGGCTGTTGCTCCCTGACCTGCCCCCTTCAAGGACGGAGCAGCAGCGGAAGGCTCCACAAACGTTTCCATCTGCCTCCTAAGGAGGCGTGCACTGAGCCCTAGAGGCAACGTCGATGGTTTCAGGCCTCTTGACACAGGGACCTATTAGTGCCCGAGGCCCAAGTTTCACACAAAATTTTCCCGGACTTATGCCGAGAATTTTTTCTTACCCTCCCACCACCCTGTGGAGCCGACTTCGGACACGCCTCATTCGAAAGTTCTCACTCACATGAACTGACATGCCTTTAAAAATCAATCATGAAAACTCACACCCTAAATTTTGGATTTGTTTAAGAAACCAAAATTTTTGACACGGGAAAATAATGCCTCATCCACTGTTCGTGGAGATACGTCGTAGTGGCCGTAGTGACCGTAGCCATAAGCGCCGTAGTGACGAACACAGTTCAGGATTCACAGAATATTCACGGCTTGCGTCAACAGAAGCAGCAAGCAGCAGCAGCAGCAGCAGCAGCAGCAGCAGCAGCAGCAGCAGCAGCAGCGGCACCTTAAAAAAAACGTCCAAGGCGCCTGAGCAGGAACCTCTATAGGGTGGTGTGGAAGGCCTGCTTGTGGGG